GAAGTGCCCAGAAGCTAGCCAATTAAATCACTTCACTTTGGTAAAACTCTCCATATCGAATCTCTTAATACATACAACTTAAATGAATTCAACACGTATATTCTTGTCTATAACATTATTTTGATTTGTTCTAACGTAATACATGAGAGATTATATGCAGAATTAGGGATTTACCAGGTTTAGGGCACAATCTGGGTTGTGGCACGAACTGGATGATATAGCCACGATCTGTCGAATCCAAGACCAGATTCGAACCCAGGTTTGGAATTTTGTTTTTCTAATAAGTTTCCTACAGACCTAGTGTTCCCAGATCGAAGGAGTGCATCGTACACCATCATCCCCCTACTGCCAGATGTTGGCTAATCCAGATCCAGCGCCCTCAACGTGCAGTCCATCATGCACTTTCGACAACCTCCCTCATTGGATCAAAAGGTAACCTGGGCCTCTTCTTGATCCGGGCCTACGTTTTGCAAACTATACCCCCTCTATCTCTTTTGCTATCAGGCCCATTTTCATATTTCTTTTATTTATTTGTTTTAATTATTTATTTGTTTTAATTATTTATTTCTTTTAATAATTTTTTTAATAACAATATAAAAATAGAAAAAAAATCATAAAAAATATAGTTTTAAGTTTTTTTATTAAATTAATTTTTTAAATTAATTAATAATTATTTAATCATTTTCTTTAATTTAAAATTAAATAGATTTAGGTTAATTCACTTTCTTTGCATAATAAAAATTCCAAAAAAAAATAGATTTGTTTAGAATTATTTTCAATTAATAACTTTTCTTTTCTTTCAATTAACTAGTCTAATTTTAACATTTTCCAAATAAGCAAAAATAAAAAAAGAGTTTTCTTTTAACTTAGATCTTTCTAGGGTTTTAGATGTTATTTTCAATTCGCACGAGTTTATTGCTTTCACGCCTTTTTTTCATATTATTGTAACTGCCTACCGGGATGTAATAGACAATAACTAGGACTTTTACATTTACTATTTTATTTCCCCAAGTTTTGACATTGTAATTAAATCCCCCTCCCTGAAGCCTTGTAATAGTTTAGAATTTATCTTTCTGCACTTTTAATTACTGCAAACTATTAACTGTTTAGATGTATGCTAATTAGGATTATATGGCAAGAGTAATAATCAAATGCTAGCAAACCTAACACAAGAAAAAATAACTAAATACAACACACTCTCACATATACACCTCTAGGATATCCCACTTTAGTTGCCTTCGAAAAAAACAGTCACATCTCTCGAAATGTGAGAGATTTTAGTGGCTATCCTCCGGTTTAAAGATCATTAGTCCCTCAATGACCCTCTCGATGTTGCCTCAGTATGATCTTAAAAACCCTAGGGTAGTTACTAAAGTTTCTTGCCCAGTTGCCTTTGTGACTGTATAAACGTCCCTTCAAATATCCCTCAAACATGCAACGACTAGGGCTACCTACTCACTAATAGTAGGATAGCACTGTCTAAAGAAAAATAGGAAAAGAACAACCTTTCGAGTAAAGTAGATAGTTGTTAGATGCTTGCTCAAACAATTTTTACACTTACACAAAACTTCTTTCAAAAACATTTTCAAACACTTTGTATACGTTCTCTACCATTCCGAGAAACATTACAAAGTTCGCCGCACTAAGGCGCTTTCAAAAATACTTTTCAAAAACACATAAAGCATAAGGTATTTCAGAATGAGTTAAGCATCTAAGAGTCCATAAATAACCACAGATGGAAAGGATGCTAACACCTTCCCTTTCCATAATCTACCCTCTTACTCAGAAATAATCTTGAAATGTCTTTTTCTGTTCTTTTCACCCTTTCCTTTGTTGGATAAAAGAAAAGTCGGTGACGACTCTTGCTTATCGTAACATTTGCAAATACAAACGTAAAACCAGTATAACAGTCGGTTCTGCCACCGTATCACAGTGAGCAACTGAAGTCTTGACATCTTCACTTTGGATGCGCCTTCATGGGTAGATTGAAGAATCCCCCAGGCATCCTTAGCTACTTTACATGTGTTTACTAATCTAAAAATGTTCTTGTCAATTATATTGAATATAGCATTCAAGGCTTTACAATTTCCAAGAGCAATTTCATCCTCTTCTTTAGACCAGTCTTCTTCTGGCTTTAACTCAGAAGTAAGTTCTCCATTTTCTCCCAATTTGACAGGGTGTTTCCATCCTTTTAAGACAACTTTCCAACACCTGCTGTTCATATACTTTAGAAAGGCCACCATATGTGGTTTCCAATAGTCATAATTGCTTCCATCCAGAATGGGTGGTCTGCTCACAAATCCTCCTTCCTTGTCCATAGTACCATAAAGTATCTTCCCTAGATCTCACCTAGATATAGAGCAGGATGTATGCTCTGATACCAATTGAAATTCTGGTATCATATATGAGATGTCGAAGGAGATGTCACGACACAAATATCCGAGGACAGTATAAAATGCAACAATATTAAAAGCAGTAAAAACACAAGGGATTGTTAACCCATTTTGGTGTACAACAACACCTACTCTGGGGGCTACCAAGCCAGGGACAAGTCCACTAAATAGTATCAATTCATAGACCCTCAGTAAATAACCAGTTTACGGTCTAATCACTTAATCACTACCCATGCTATACTTCTACCTAAGACACACCTAGGTATGAGGCCCTCCTCAAATCCCTTCAATCACTAACATTGATGAACAACAAAAATATTAAGTTTTAAGGACTTCAATCATTAAATACTTAAAAGCTAATGAGTGATCCACAATTAACAACTCAAATTACAACTCAAGTATTAAACCAATACTTAGAGTGTATAACAATTAAAAAGACTTACACTTCTAAAACAGAAAGAGTATGTTCTTCTTTTTAAAAGTTGCAGCTTGATGAATAAGGATGCAAGTCCTTATAAAGGCGCATCAGTGGGCTTGGACTGAAAAACAAATATTCTAATCCCTTGAATATTTCCATGAAAACATGTCAAGATATAATCCATAAGGATAATGCAAAGAGAAAAATATTCCTCCATATTTTTCGTAAACTATGAGTCACAAATCTTGAATAATGGCGCGCATAAAAACAGGAAACAAATATGAAGTCACGTTCAGATCATGAGGAAGATGTCAAGATATCTATTTTGACATCATTTAAAACTAGTTTGCTTCAAATGTTAAGACATTTAGCAAAATATTATCAAGTTAGTGTTTTACCAAAATTGCTGTCAACAAACACTTATAGAAATGAAGAAAAAGGTTGACGGATTAAGGAAGAAGATGAATTTTTTGATATTTGTACTTATTGCTACATGCTTTTCATTTCTTCTTGGTTCATGTAATAGATAGGTTCATAAGTTCATGTAACATATAGGTTCATAGGTTCATGTATCAACTACTTTGTTAATGAATTTTGTCATTGTGTTTATTGTACAGGGTTGTAATGCCTTCCTGTTGAATTAATCAAGTTGTTGTATTTGTTATATAAATTTAGCATGTCTTGAAATATTTTAGTATTATATAATTACAACACATTGTGCATAATGTGGCAGGGCAAGAACATAAACAATCACTTTGGATTGAAAGCAATTTGATTGTAAATTGGCATTAAATTGATGCATATTGTGCATAACAGAATACATCATGTTTTTTATTAGAATTACAACCAAACTTAGAAGTTACTAAAGTAAGCCTTACAAAATAAGTTACAAAATGGCACATTATGTGCTTAACAAAAGATGACAGATAATAGCATAACATAACTGTTTTGATAATCAAAATGACACCTAATGGACAACCTAATTACTGATTCATTCTCCTTGCAATATCATTCCAGTTGTCTGATGTCTTCACAGAAGGCTCGTCATCAAACACCAATGGTGCATCTGAAGTTGAACCAGACCAATCAATTTTTTTTTGCATTCCTAACACCTTTCAATCTCTCATTGCACCTCTTAGCTTTCATCTTTTGAGTATTCTTCTTAGCAACACCTTTTTTCTTAGCAGTAGTTTATGTAGCAGTGTTTGTAGCAGTTTGTGTAGCAGTGTCAACAATTTATGTAACAGTGTCAGCAGTTTTTGTAGTAGTGTTTGCAGCAGTTTGTGTTGCATGCTCAGTTGGTGCAGCATGCTCAGGTGTGGGATTAAAAACTTGTGATTTCTGTTCTTCAAAGGCATTCATCATGTCATCAAGCAATGCATCTAACTCTGGATCGTTCATTTCATGGACACTTCCACCAGGTTCTCCTTCAGTTGGTGCAACAGATGTAGTTGGTGCAACAGATGTAGTCGGTGCAGCAGATGTAGAGGGTTTGGTCCTTGGTGTTTTTCTCTACACAAATTATAAGCATATTTAAGAAGACTATTTTAAGAACATATTATAAGCCCCATTTCTGCAAATACACAGATATCCAAAATTAATATTCGCAGAGAAGAAAGAAACATGTGAGGCCTCCTCATAATATTTACAGAAAGTATGCATTGGGACCACATACAAATCGTAACTGAACTACATCGTAACTAAGCATAAAAATCGTACCTTTTTGAGCCAACACAAGCTTTTTCTGAAAGCAATTCAAGACGAAATCAGAGCGAAGATCACTAACTATTAAGACTTTTCAAACGAAAACAAAGAACCCTAACAATTAGAGTTTGAAATGATCAATTCTCTCAAATCTTTATTTTTCACTAAAGAGTTATTTTCGTTCGTCTAAAAATATTTAAACACATGTGACTTTTCATTTAAATTAAAAATAATAAAAAATAGTGCCACATCATTTTTGATGATTTGGCCCGATAAAATTTAAAAACAAATATTTTACAAATATCAGAAGATTTCATGCAAGTTTTTTTTTTACAAGATTTTTTTAAAAGACGCCTATGTAATAGGGGAAAGTGACAATTAGTCCTTTATTATATTTTATCTAAATGTTGAATCAACTATTTTATTAAGTATAAAATGCGCGCACACGTAACATCCCTGCACTGCACACACACAGACACATCGCTCGCCAAGTCCGAATAGATACTACTACTACTTTTTTTAATTTTTCTTTTACTCTTGTTTTATTTTACTACTTTTATTACCAAACTTTTCTCGTTTCTTCCCTTGAAAACGAACCAATTTTCATCTCTCTCTCTCTCTCTCTAGCAGTATATTCACACGCACCTATATATATACACACACCACACATGTCCTCTTTCTATTCTCCTTTTCTTCATACTCCTTCCCATTTTTGCTTCCTCTTCTCTTCCCAACTCTGCAACATCACACTCATAATCATCTTCTCATCATCAATACGCCCCGTGTAAGTAAGTAACCACACTTCCTCATTTCTATCTTCTTTTTGCCTTCACGCCTTTTCATGTTCTTTCACCGTTTCATTTCTATTTTTATCATATCACTTGGTTTTATGCTTTTTATGTATGGATTGGGATCTATCTGGATTGGATTGAACTTCTTGGTTTCTGTTTACTTATTGTTTAACTAAATTGTTTTTTATTCTATTTCTTGTCTGGTTTAGTTTCGTTTTAATTGGTACTATGATGTTTATATTTGTTTTATGCTGATATTGGTTTTTGTGCTGTTTCTTTTTTTTTAATATGTATAGTTTATCATCTGGGTGGCTTTGTTTGAAGGGAAAAATTGGATTTTGACTTGTTCCCAGTGGTTAAAGTGTTGTTCTTTCCCTGAAGGGTTTTTTCAATTTTCATGGGTTGAACTTTGATAATTATGGGTAGTTTCAGTGGAGATGAGGATTGTCAGTTTTTTGATGCTAAAGAGGATGTTTTGTCAATTGGGTATGCAAATTCTGATGATGATAATGATAAAAGTTTGTCTGTTGATTTTGATTATGATGTGTGGATTCGGAGTCCGAAGAGTGTGAGAGAGCGAAGAGGGGAGTTTATGAAGAGTATGGGAATGAGTTTAGATGGAATCGTTGTTGAAAATTCATTAGATGTTGAGAAGGAAGAGATGGTAGATAGAGTAAGAGGAAGTAGTGGTTCTGAAGAGGAATTTAGTTCGAGTCGGTTGTTAATGTCTTGTTGCTCTAGTGTGAGTTTTTCAGAGGAGTTTGGTTTAGTGGATAGTAATAACTTACCGTGTCAAGATGAAAGTTTGGAGAAAGGAGTAGCAACTAATGTCGATAAAAAGGAGGAACAGAAGAAGCATGTGATGGTGAATGATGATTCGGATCATTTGGTGGTTGCTGGGAAGTCTGAGGATTCCGTGAATGTTAATGTTTCGGGAGTGTCTCCTCAAGGATTGGTAGGTAGAGATTTTGAGGATTCAGATGGTACTGGAATTTTAAATAGGGTGAGAAGGGGCTGGTTAAGAAGATTGAGATCGATGACGTGCATGGTTGATACGCAAGGGGAAGGCGATGATTATAATGGGAGAGGAGATGGGAGAATGTCAGTCTCAGGGTGTAGGCTTCAGAAAGTTAAGGTTCGTCAAAGTAAGAAAAATATCAAGGAGCTTTCGTCGCTTTACTTGAGGCAAGATATCCAAGCGCACGAAGGTTCAATTTTGACGATGAAATTCAGTCCCGATGGACAGTATCTAGCCACTGGCGGCGAAGATGGTGTGGTTCGTGTGTGGCAAGTAGTTGAGGAGGATAGATGTAATGAAATTCATATTCCAGAAATTGACCCTTCATGCATTTACTTTACAGTGAATAATCTCTCTCAATTGACACCATTGTTTATGGATAAGGAAAAACTTAGCCAACTGAAGAGTATGAGAAAAACATCAGATTCCGCTTGTGTCGTTTTCCCGCCTAAGATCTTCCGGTTGTTGGAAAAACCATTGCACGAGTTCCGTGGTCATGGAAGTGAAGTTTTGGATCTATCTTGGTCGAAGAAGAATGTGAGTAAAAGTTATTAACCATTAAGTTATTTACTTTAATGAGATAGACGAAGCTAATGGAAAATTAATCAGTTCTTCATCTTCCTTTTGAATGTAGTATCTTCTATCATCGTCAGTTGACAAAACTGTCCGACTATGGAAAGCGAATCATGAGCATTGCTTGAAAGTGTTTTCACACAGTAATTATGGTGCGTCTTGTTGCATTTCTATTTTGATTTTCAGGCTTCTTCAATTGTTATCATGGTTTGTTTGATCACAACGTTTTGTCTCACAAGTTGTTTGTATTTGATGGTGTGTTGTACAGTGACATGTATACAATTCAATCCTGTCGATGAAGATTATTTCATTAGCGGATCCATAGACGGGAAAGTGCGAATATGGGCAATTCCTGATTGTCAGGTTGTTGATTGGACTGATGTCCTAGATATAGTGACTGCAGTATGTTATCGGCCCGACGGGCAGGTATTATTTTCAAAAACAATTTCAATTTAATTTGAACATATGCTATTGCTATAAAGGAAATGATTTCATTTGAATAATATGATGCATAACAGGGAGGGATTGTTGGTTCTTTGGCAGGAAATTGTCGGTTTTATAAAATATCAGGTATGATCTTTAACAAGATTCTGTATACCTCAAAACGTTAACCGATTTATATTTACATGTGATTGTCTTACTCATTTAATCTACAAAAATCATTTAAGGCTCATGCTCATGCAAGGTCCTTAACTCATCTGGTTTTCATTTTTGGTTGAACCAGATAATCACTTGCAATTAGATTCTCAACTATGCTTAATTGGTAAAAAGAAACTTCCGGGCAGAGGGATATTGGGCTTTCAGGTATTTTGCTTTTGCTTCTTGTGTTAAGTAACATTTTTGTGATTATCTATATTGTCACAATATCTCAGTGAATTGATATGTTATTTATTTCAGTTTCTTCCTCAAGATTCCAACAAAGTTATGGTCACCTGTGCTGATTCACAAGTTAGAATCCTTGATGGGCTTAATGTGATTTGTAAATACAAAAGTATGTTCCCATTGAATCCCTACATAATTTGAATTTTATTTCATTATATGTTCTATCACTAAGGTTTCCTTACATTCTATTTTCAGGCCTCAACACAGGGAGCCCAATGTGTGCATCCTTTACTTCAGACGGGAAACATATTTTATCAGCATGCGAGGACTCAAATGTATATCTATGGAACATTGATCAGGACGAGTCTAATGCCACGAAATATAAGAAAATCAGGTCTTGTGAGCGGTTTTTCTCTAATGCATCCGTTGCAGTACCTTGGCATGGTTTGAAACCTCAAGTTACTGAAAATGAACAATTGAATGTCTTGGATAAAAAATCATCTCAAGTTTCTTTACAATTACACTCCACTCCGCCCACATCTTTCTCTTTGGGCCAAGAGTTTTTCTTGGAGTCTTTTCCGAAGGGATCTGCTACCTGGCCCGAGGAGAAGCTTCCTGTTTCAAGCTCCAAGGCTAAAAAAACATCATTTATGCATAACTCCGAATACAAGTTCTTGAAATCTTCTTGCAAGAGCTCCAACCGCGCTCACGCGTGGGGTATGGTTATCGTGACTGCAGGCTGGGACGGGAGGATAAAATCATTCCAAAATTACGGGCTACCTGTACCAGTTTGAAATGAAGTGTGACTTAACTACGTGGCGCAGTTAAAGATCTTCAAATCATTGGTCGAGATAGTTTAAAACTAATTTTGCGTAACCGCATGATGCAAATCGGGACGCATCAGGTAACAAAGCAGTTTGAGGTCAAAACCATGTGCAGGAACATCAAGATTATTGAGATTGATGACAAGTGGTGACACTATTCTACTTAGCAAATGGCCAAGTTTGAATTTGTCTCGATCTTAAAGTCTTAATTGGCTTTTGGTACACTAAGAATCTGATGGCCCCTAAAAGAGATGCAAAGTCATGTGTTGAAAAACCTGGAAGGACCCTTAAAAAAGAAAATTTTGATATGTTGTGGGACCTTTGAACACCCTTTTGGTTGCTAAGGTGAAAGGTTGAGATTTCAAGAGTTGGTTGGTGGCTCAAGTTCACTCTAGATCAATCAAAATGCTAAAGGATGAATCTCTTTGTCTGCCAATTTTGCCATCCATGTGATTTTGTGGTCATTTGTACAAAAGGGTCATTTTTGCTTGAATAGGGAAGTGTGCTTTTAGCTTCCTATTGCTTGCTACAATGATACTCCCACAAACAATGTGATTATGATTTGTTTAGTGGCTCGAAATATTTGGCAACTTGTGTAGTTATGTGCCAAATGTTATTATCACTAACAAAAATATTCTGTACATGTACATGGTCTCAATTTTAGGCCAACATCACTTTTGATTAGTTGAGGTACAATTATATTGGTTCTTACTAATTTAATGTAAATTTGTAATTTGTTCGTGTGAGTAATAGTATTTTATTTATTTGGCTTTTGGTCGAGGGAATAGAAGTTTCTTTGTATGATAATGATAGCTCTTTTTGGTCATCAAGAAAATAAAACTACATTGTAGTACTCTTTCTCTCTTATCTTATAATAAGTGTTTTACCTTCCGTCTTATAATAATTATTTTATTTGAGTTTTACGTAATTTTAAAAAATAATAATTAGATGGGTTGATTTTAATGATAAAATTAATATTATTTATTAAATTTTATTTATTTATTATAGTTAGTAGAGTTATTGAAAAATGTGAAATTAATAAATAAAAATATAAGAATGAAAAAAAATAATAAATGTTATATCATTATTCTAAAGAGACATTTATTTTAAGACAAAAAAAAAATACAAATAAGAAGTTTTTATGAGACACCTATAGACATAATAGAAGTATTTTGATTCATAATAATTTGAGCTACATGATTATTCAGTCATGTGCTACAATATCTTGTGTGGTTGGAGTTAAGAAAATGTATCTTTCCAGATCATATTTCAACGTAATAAGGGATTTATGAACTTAGAAGGCAACCTAATACATATTGTCACAAGATATTATATTTATATAAAAATAAAATTAATTAATGTATTAGAAATAGTGTAGAGAGTAAAAAATAAAAGATATAATTGAAAAAATAATTATTATTATTATAATAAAAAATAAAATGACAGTCATTTTAAAATAAAATTTATTTATTAAAATGCCGATCATTTTAAAACGAGAGAGTAGTTTCTAATATTGTGATTAGGAAAGATAACATAAAATAAACTAGTGCTAATTCATCTGTTTAGCCAAATAGTGATTCATGAACTTGGAGACAGAATGGTGATGGAATATTGTCTACCATCTATTTTTAATATTCAAAGCCGTCCTTTCTATAACAAGATCTCCTCAAGAGCCTATTCAATGTGAATCTAGGTTCAGAGTAAATTTTAAAATAAAATGAGGACTCTGTTTGGCCTAATTTTTGGATTAAAAAAGTTAG